TTGAAGAACCGAACTTGTGGGTTTTTAACGGGTTTATGATAGGCGGGTCCATGGCGGGTTTGTATTAGGACCCAACCTTTACGGGTCGAAACCCGTTATCGTCTAAACTTTATTTTTATATATAATTTATAAGTTTTACGGGAGAATAATTAGAAACTAAAATGAATAACCTAAAATTTTAAATTGAAACCAAACATAAATAATGTAAATGTCAAAGTAAATAAAAATTAATATAAAACTAAAAATAACTAATTCATAACTTAAAAGACAAAATTTAAATAAAATAAATATAGTTTTTTCAAGCATAACCAACGCTATTCAGCTCCATTCAACACCATTTTCTTCCTTTTTTTTTTTTTGCCGTGTGTTGACCGTTGTATATATATATATGCTTTTTTTCCTACATTTTCTTAGAGATTTTCATAATCTTTATAGCTATTACTTCCACAATTATAGTTTAGTTGATTTATGTATTTGATACAGTAGAGATACTTTATTTATTCATTAATATTATTAATTTATTATACTATATAATGTAAACAAAACGACGTCGTTTTGTATGGCGGGGCGGGACGGGTTTCACGGGTATTAAAAAAAATTGAACCCGTCTAAGACCCAAACCCACGGTTCTTCACCATTTTAGGACCCAATCCTATGGATGGATCTATCCGTCCGGTCCCAACGGGGCGGTTTTTCACGGGTTTGACGGGTGTAGCGGGTTGATGGGTCCGACTTGCTCACCCCTAATTCCAAATGATTTCACTAAATAACAGTATAAATCCATGAAGGATTCCAAATCAACAATACATCGTTCCAAAACAAAATTTGAAAACAACCAAAAATTACAGTCCTAAATTAATCTAAATAATTTACTGGAAAATAAAACAATTCAGAAGGACATGTGTTTTCCAAACATAGAAAAAGCAGAAAGGTATATGGTCTTGTTTGATGTTCTGTATATACTAATAATATATTTTGAAGGAATAATTTGAGAATGAAATAGTGTTTGGCTATATTTTGAGATTAGATCACTGTAATATAGATGTGCATATTGTTGGAGTGAGTTGGTGTGTTCAAGTGAGTCATAAAATGTGGTCTGCTATAACACTATTCACCAGTATAATTTGAGAAAACATAGTAAACTATAGAAAAGCTATTGGAAATTGTTTAAAAGTCAAATCATGTTCAAAGGTGTTGAAAAATGGTATTTAGAAAAATAATTTGAAAATCATAGCGATGTTTGTTTTTATATTATTTTGTGGAAATATGAGTTTTAAGAAGATTTTGTGGAAATATGAAGTTTAAGAAGATTTTGTTTATATTTAAAATATTTCAAATAAAAAACTATTTAATCAGTTAAATTAGAAAACAAAACTTTAAAACGATGACGTTTGAAAAAGAAATTGAGGCAATGTTCAGTAAGTTTTTGGATGTGCATTTCCATTTTATTTTTTTGGGGGAAATGGCTTCTTAAGAAGAAATTGAGGCAATATTCGGTAAGTTTTTGGGTGTGCATTTCCATTTTATTTTTTTAGGGAAATCGCTTCTTTTTTGGGGGAAATGGCTTCTTTTCTTAGGAATTTGAATTTTTATATTTTTATAATGTTTGTTATATTCTGACAGTCAAATCTATATCTATACTATAAATAAAAGGTGGAAGGCTTCTTCCATTTTATGTAGGAACAAAATTATCTCTACATATATTTGAAAGTTTATACAAATCAAAAGACACTGATGTAATTTAATTAATATTTCATTTAAATGTTAATTATACAAGTAACTTTTCATATTCAAAGTGGTTTTTTAATACTTTATTTCTATTATAACTTCTAAAATAATTTGAAGTTTGAAAATATATTTCATTCATATTCAAGTACATTCAGAGAGTTTTCTAATAAGATATTATTTGACTATATTTTAGTAACGATTTAGCTTAAATAATTTATTAAGGATATGTTTTAATTTGTCAATATTCAATCAATTATAGTAATTTAAATTTGAAGACAATAAAAAAAAAAAGAATTCACATAAATATAAATACATAAAATTGAAAAAATAATTCTACAACTTATTATATTAGATAAAATAAACAGTCCTAAAATTTGAGGTGTTAAATAAAGTATGAACAAACATATAAGGTTAAGTTAAATGGTATGCAATCTTTGATATTACAAATTACTTTTGATATTTTTTGTAGTATCTCACATAATTCTTAAGCTATTCTAAACTTAAAATTACATTTTTTCTTATTAAAACAAACTTTTAGAGATTTTCCTTTTTCTGTAAGTAAATAATGAATACTTCTTTTTTTTTTAGAGAAATAACGTATGTTTTCACATTTATATAATTGTCACCAGATAATTTAATTAATATTTATTTTGGGTGGATTAGAGCAACTTTTAATATTATATTTTTTTATTAATACTCCCTATCATACGTATCTATCAAAATACTTTCAATATTTAAATAATATATTATTCAAAATTAAGTAGATTTGTTTAGATTTCTAATTTGATTTTAATTAAACTTTGGAGGATATGATACATGTAATGTTATTGTTTAGTTTCAAAATAATTAATTTGTGAAATATTTTTAATTCTATTAATATCATTATATCTTCAGTAACTAAGGATAAAACATATATAAATAGGTAAATTTCATTTTCCCCGTTACTCTAACCTCGAATCACTTTACCCCCTCATTTTGATGCAATTGAGAGTACCGGAGGATAAAGTGATTCAAAGTCAGAGGACGAAGTGAGAAAGTGAAATTTACCCTCAATAAATTTATAAATTAAATTAAAAGATCAAATTTAAAAGTAAGTCTTTTATTGTTTATGGTAGATGAAAGCAGGGCGTAACTAAGGCACTCCAGGGGGATGGGGAGCCGCCCCTCCAGAAAAATAAAAAAATTGAAAGTTTTTTTCATTAGTTTTTTATTTTTATTTATATATTTTATTCTAATTGCCCCTCTAAAAATCCCTAGTTATAATGCATACTTTTATTTTAATTTAAGGAGTGTCAATGGTTGTATATGCTTATATTACATTAGCTAGACTTTTGAATTACTTTTGCTTTCTAAAGAATTACATAAAAAAAAATCGGGAGCGCTGCCCCGAACCCCTGCAAATTCTGCTCCCCCACCCAACACTCCCTGAATCTGCCATTGGATGAAAGTATTGCAAAATATATGAGATAAAACTTAAATTATGAGTTATTCATGATATTTTCTTTATACCGCAATTCTTAAAACACTACAAAAGTCTACTAATATTTTATATAAAATAAAGTTCTATTTTTGTCCTAATAAGACATCAATGCTTATACAGACGGAAAATGGTTATATATTAACATTTTGTTGTGTCGATCTATATGATTTTTTTATGACGGTTTCTAATTTTCTCAATAATTAATAATTTAATTATAATTGTGTTTTCTCAAGTGATTCTATTTCTAATACAATCTTTAGAGAGGTTGTAGACGGCTAAAATTAATAAATTGATAAATTAAATTGTGCCTAATTTAATTTATGGTTTATCTTACGTGACAAGTCATGTAGATAAACATCAATTAATTATTAGACAATAGGATTATTTCTTCTCTTCCAAGCTATAAGAGATAAATATCAATTTAAAGAGAGTCAATCAAATTGCGCCACGTCATCAAGAAGACTTTATGTAGCACTCTTATTCTACCACTATAAATAAGGACCCTCCATACACCATTCAAAACACAACTCAAGAAGAAGAAAAACCGTTGGAGAAATTTTTCTCTACAATATTCAAGACATCTTCATCAAATTCAAGGCGTTCTTCATCAAACCGAGGGCGGTGTTCAACAAATCAAGATCGAAGAAAGAATCGATGGAAGATTGAAGGGCCAAATCCATCAAGAACTCCAAGATCTTCAAGTCAAAACCCGTCAAAGCTCAGTGTTCGATCCGAGATTCAAGTCGCAAGACCCTTGGAAGACGTTATTCAAATTTAAATCAAATCCGGAGAAGATCAAGTCAACGATCCGACTCCGAAATTCAAAGTCAAACAAATATTGTTCTTGAGAGAAGAATCAAATGATTAAATTAGAGTTTGTAACCCGCAATATATATTTATTTTAATTCAATAAAATTATATTTGTGCAAGTATTTCTTGTTTGTTTAAATCGTTGATAAGAATTTGTTGCTACAGAGGTGTTGAAGAAAAAGTATCACAATAAAAAAAATAATCCTATAAGAAAATATTTTTCAGTAAATACCACAACTTGATGAAATAAATGATGATGCCAGAATTTGAGAAAAGAACGTCACAAAAAATGGAGATGAAAGAAGAAGAATAATGATAATTGTTACACTGATCTTTAAATTTTTTTTGTAATGAGTATGAAGATTTTGTTATGCACTGTGCTACATCAAGATTAGGGGTGGAAATAGGAACGAAATTTCCGATTTCCGCCAATTCCGATCCGAATTTTTCCGATTTCCGATTTTTTCCGATTTTGGAACAATTTTTTTATTGTTCGATTTCCGAAATTCCAATTTGCGATTTTTCGAAAAAAATTTGGATCATAATCGGAATTGTATATTAAATATTTGGAATTTCCGAATTCCGATCCGAAATAATTCTGAAATTTCCGATCATATTTCCGAATAATTCCGAAAAATTTCAAAAATTATTATTTGTTATTATATATTATACAGGTTACTTTTTATTTTCTCTTACCTTAAGCTTAAAGCCCTATAACAAAACAATAGTTGGCCCATTACATACTTCTCCAGCCCAGTATCTCTAAAGTTTAAACTAGGGATGGCAACGAGTCGTTCTGGGCCGGGTTGGCCTAAACCCAAGACCCGACCCACGAAAAATATATAAACCCAAGACCCGCCCCAATCCGCTTTAGCTTAGACCCAGACCCGCCCCAACCCAGACCTTAACCAAACGGTTCTGACCCGTACCCATTGCCATCCCTAGTTTAAACCCTATTTCCTAATTCTCGTTCCTCTCTTGCCAAGCGCCGCTCCACATGTGAAGAATCTATAAACAATTTCCTCAGAATAGCGCCGCTTTTCCCGTCATCCTTGCGTAGCAGCAATGGTGCTTTCTCCTTCGTCAAATCGTCGGCAAACAACATTCTGGAAGATAACAACCCTTGTTTCCTTACGTAGCTGCGCTATTCTTCTTCCTTTGTCGAATGGCCGGCGAAATAATATTTATAAACACCTTACTTTTGTTCTTTCTTCACCCTCATCTATCTCGTATTTTATTTCTCGATCGAACAATAGGTAATATTCTAATTCATTATTTTTTGTGATTTGAGAGCAGATTTCGTATTTTCAGAATTACTTATGGGTAATTTCCGAAAAAATTCAAATAAATTCCCAAAATTTCCGAAAAATCGTAATCGGAATTCATATTATGATTCCGAAAAAATCGGAATCGGAATGGGAGTCCACAAAGTAGTTCCGAAAAAAATCGGAAATTTTCCAAAATGGCTGTTTCCGATCCGATTCGTCCGATTTCCACCCCTAATCAAGATCAAGCAAAATCAATATGATCGGAAATCTGCATTAACATACTAAATCATATCACTAATTTATTAAATATTTATTTATAATATAGCTTAATTTTAATAAAGTAAATTATTAATAAATATATAAATAATTAACAAAAATCATAAAGCACGTGCAACGCACGTGTCACTTACTAGCTAGTGTCTAAAAATACTGGAAAAACAAAGTAGTTTGAAGAAGAATCTAAAAAATAAAGTAATGTTTGTTTGTACTTTGAAAAATGTTACCTTGCCCGGGAAACCGAAAACAGGGTATCCGGGGAAAAACTCATCTAATCGGTAATGGATTATTTTTCTACCGAAATGGAGTTTTTGTTCACAAATTAGTTGTCATAATGCCTAATGCTTTTCATATACATTGAGAAACTGGATTCACTTTAATGTATAACTTTTACCAAACGGAGTTATTTATTTTTTGTGATCTTCAATATAAGTTATTGTTTTTGCATTTGACTCAGCTACTGTAATTCCTTGATGCTAAGCATTTTATTATTTTTTAGCTTACAGTATCGATCTTTTTTCTTTTCTGTTTTCTTCTTAATTAACTTGAGGATTGAAATAATTCGTGATAGAGATCATATAACGGTGAACCATGATGAACTTACCTTAGAGGACGAACCATCGGAACCTGGTTAGTTCCTCTACAAATATTTAACTTATGATGTCCCTTTTTTTAATTAACTTTCCGTGTTATGGGCCTCTTTGTCATTAACCCATCTTTTAACTAATTTTCATAATAATAGGGGAAATTTAGTATTTTGGTATGAAAGAGGTTATACCAAGATTTAAATTTGAATTTATTGTTTTACCATAATTGAATAAGGGGATTTTGTCGAATAGCCACTTTGTCCTATTGCAAGGTTGTAAAAAGCGGTAATCGGGTCGGAGGCGGTTAGGCGCCGCCTCTCAATTAATCGGTGCGTCGGTGATTAATCGGCGATAAATTGAAAATAAATCGATTTTTAAAATTTAAATAAATATTATTTATAAATACTCAAAACATATAAAAAGATATTGGCTGCGGCTATATGCAATACTCGTTCCACTTCTGCAAGACCAAATTAAAGAAAGATTCCAAAAGATTCTATTTTATTAAGATGAAATGACAAATATACCCATAAGTTAATTTGCCCTTTTTTTCTCATACAAGACCAAAAATAATGAGGAAAAAAAAAAAATACAAAAAAAAAACCAAAAAGAAAAAACTAAAAAAATAAAAAAAAAAAAAACAAAAAAACAAAAAAAGAAAACTTTGCGTGAATTGAAACAACACCCTCCTTCAAACCCTACCCGCCCACCTTCTCCGCCGTTAAATTCCACCGCCCAAGCTCCGTCGCCTAAGCTCCGCTGGCCAAGCTCCACCACCGATCGCCGTCGCCGCCAGCCCCGCCGCTCACAATCATGAGTGATCCGAACCTGCCCAGCAACGCCGCCGAAAAGAGGAAAAACAAATTAAATTTGAAACTGGTAAATATCGACACCAAGGTGTCGAAAAGTTACGCTACAAATCGACACTTATGCGTCGAATTTTATAAGCAGAAATCGACATTGACATGTCGAATTTATAGCACAAATTCGACATGTCCAAATGTCGAATTTTATAGCTCAAAATCGACATCTAGATGTCGATTTTTACCCATAAAATTCGACCTGTACATGTTGAATTCGTTTGCGCGGGATTTTTTTTGGAAAAACGATATTTTAGCTAAAAAACCCATAAATGCATACCTGCTTGGGTTCTTCCACCGTAGAATCTTCTATTTTGATGTCTTTTGACTCCATACTTTCCATCTTTGTAAGATTTGTTGAGTTTTGATGATTTTGAATGTTTAGGTTTTGTGGGTTTATGGAAGAGGAAGGAGAAAGGTCTTGTGGTTTTTGGAAGATGGAGAAGATGAAAGTTGGTCTTGTAGTTTTGTGGTCTTGTGATAGGGTTTTTTGTATTTTTGAATTTTTGGTCTTGCACATTTTGAATTTTTTATTTTTTTAACAAGTAAGGGTATTATAGTATTTATACATTGAAAATTTTAATTTGGTCTTGCACAAGTGGGTTTAGTCTTGCATATAGCCGCAACCAAAGATATTTAAACATGGTCTATCTCCATCATTTACATATCCTAATAACATAATAACATATTTAAACATCTTTATATCTCCATCATTTATTATATCCTAATGATATTTAAATTTAGGGGTAATATGCTAAGAGTCCCTTAAATGAAACATAATTTGAACTAAATGACAACCTTAAATTTAATCTTTTAATTAAATCTCTATTTGAAATAATATATGACCCACATCCCTAATTTTTATTTTATCCCTAGTTTGCCCTTATACCCTAAATATATAATATCCCACGTTGGGATAATTATATTTTTGGTCCCTCATGTTTGAACCAATTCCACTTTTCGTCCCCCTTGTTTCAAAGTGAACAAAGTTCACCTCAATGTTTCATTTTTAAACAAATTTGGTCCACTCCGTCACATGGACGTTAGCAATTAACAGAGGAAGTCACTTGCGCCGCACGTGACCGTCAATTAGGTCTGAAAAAAGGGGAAAGAACCCCCAATTGCCATTCCCAACAATTTTCACCTTCTTCCCCAATTCTTTAAAAACCCAATGGATGCCCTAATTATCTCCATAATTCCCCCCAAACCAACATATTTGGTGTTCATCTTCACCGAAATTCAAAATTCATCTCCATCATGGGAAGTCGATCGACAAATTCAAGTGGAACCTCACACAATCGAAGCAATATTAGCGCACGAAATGTGTGGTGCCTCCCACTCGAAACTGTTACTTGTCGTTGTGGTTTTGAACTTGTTTAAAATTCCGGGCATGCCCAAATTATACGGTGAGTTGATTTCCAAAAAAAAAAAACGATTTTTTTTTACATATTTTTTGCTTTTCTTTTTGCTCTTTAATTGATTTTTTTTTCTAGAGCCCATCATGTTGTGGCTATTTTGAGTGGGTGGACGAAGAAGTTTGTCGAAGAAGCAAGAACATCATTCCTGGATTGTTGAAAAAACTGGACAAATTGGAAGAGAAAATGAAACTGGAGAAAGAAAAAAAAAAAGAAAAATACAAGTTGAGCTTGAACTGTACAAGAAGACACAAAGGAAGATGAAGATGATGGCATATCTTGTTATTTTTCTTCTATTTATAACAATCCAACTCATGTGCAAGCCCAAATATGAGAAGAAATTTGCAGAACTGATGTAGAGCTTATGCTTGTTGTTATGTTCTATTTTGGATATTAGATATTTTGTAAAATTTGCCTAAATATTTCTTAATGGATGCTCTTTTGATTATCTTAATACAATGTCTAATGAGATTGAGTTTGTGCATAAATTTAACCATAATTTGTAATGCATTTATGCAGAAATTAAAAGAACATAAATTCTTTTGATAAACAATTGAAATGTTTAAACAACTATTAAAGCAACAAACATCAATTAACAATAATCTGTTACATCACATAAATTCATCAAAAAGCAACAGAGTAACACAAACCAACACAACAGTGCACAAAACAATGCAACAAAGTTCAAACCAACACAACAGTACACAAAACACATACTTGAAACCAATAAACACTTGTAACAGAAACACAACAAATCTTTCTGTTACATAAGTTCAGAAATTACAAAATCAACCACCAAATAGATAGTTCAAACCAAAAAATACAAAAATAACATCAAATTGATCTAAAGACTGGAAGCATCAGATCTAATCTTTGATGAGGTGCCATCTTCTTTTGTTGATGTCCTTGTAGGATTTGAGGTGGGATTTGCAGTCCTTGAAGGGGGAGTCTTTGTGAGTGGTGGTCTCATTGAATGAGGAGTAGAGGTTGATGCCCCTTTGTCTTGATTCCCAACTGAAGCTTTTAAATTGGACAATGTGATATAGTTCACCCCTCCCTTCACCAGAATATTTGTTGCTGAACCTTGATTGATCTATATAAAATATAAAGTTTATTAATACATGAAACTCACAATAAATAATTTAAACTTTAAAAAGTGTAAAAACTTATAGTCACTGAAGTGGTTGCATTGGACATATGTCCTATATTTATTCCAACATTACTTGGTCTTCTGGCCTGCAAACACAAATACAATATGAGAAGATAAATATGATATAACAATAAGTAGATATCAGAAGAATTTTTTTTTATTTAACCTCATGTTTCCCCCTTCTGTTAGGCTGAGGTTGTGTGGTTGGTTGAGGCTGTGGTTGAGTTTGAGTGGTTGGTTGAGGGTCAGATGGATTGGTTGGAGGTTCTATAACATTCTCCTCAGCTCTACTTTCATGTGTCCCTCTACTCTGTCCACATCTCCTCACATTGTATCCTATTTGTCCACATCCTCTACATTTATTGGTTCTATAACTTTTCTTCAACTTTGTCTGACCTGGAGCAGGGGGCTCATCTGGTTCTCTTCTTCTTAATTTTTGTGGTCTGCCCTTCTTCTCTTTGTATATTGGTGGCAGTGGTGGTTGAAGACTACATTGAAGCCATAATTTTGCACTGGTGATTGGCTTGATGGACTTCTCATATGCCTTTT